CATGCTTCATTTTATTTTGGATTTCGTCTCACTGATTGTTGTCACGTAGTATCACCTGCATTATTCGCACAACTCGACGACGAAGTGGACGATGAAGTGTTCTAATCAGATTAAATCATGATAGGTAATGCTTGGATCAATTCAATTAACTTTGTAACACACCTGCTCTCTCTAGTACTTTGCCTTAGGTGAGGCCACATTTTAGCTGCAGCAGCAGTAGTTAACGAAGAAGAAGACGTCACCACCGCAGCAGGAGGAAAAGGAAAATTTTCCTTAGAATGGGTTACCATTTTCATATCAGATGAAGAAACAAAGGTTTTAAATCGAGTTTGGCAGGCATCATTGTGAACGACGAAGTAGAAGTGTCAGCAGACGCTGTCACCGAGAGGTGGGTGCTTCTGAAATACAGCAGTGCCTATCTTTCTGGCAGGACATGTTTGGAACTTTTCTTATTTGGTGGTTTTCTTTTTTATTTTGCACCAGAACCTTTTTGGGGTCTGCTCTTGTATTTTTGTGGATTTGTCTTTTTCGTTGTTTTAACTGCGGAATTTTGATACAACTTAACAAAGTTGATATTTTGGATGACACAGTATGTAACTGTTATAGTGTGTAGAAATTATATCCAATATTTGTAATGAATAAATCCACAGTAATATTTTTTAATTTCTTCCCCAAATTAATAGTTCCTTTTAGTGATATATACTTAGTGTCTATAGAACAAAATGAGTCGAGGCGGTTCCAAGAAATAAACTGCTAAATGATGATAGATATAACAAATCCCTGAACGATTATCTTTATATTGAGTTGGATTGTTATCCGATATTCTGTTGGGTTTTTTGGGGAGGGGATGTTTGATCCCGAAAGAAGTGTTGAAGGAGTTAGTCAAGAACAATCAGAAAAATAGAGGTCAACTCACGGATGCCTGCAGAATGCAATTGGTTTAGTCAGGACCGATTATATCCTTATATTGCAAAGACTGCATCCACCCCCACCCTCTTGAAACATTCGATTTCAACCCTTGTTTGACAATTCCCAGTTATGGATCAGCTGAAACCGTAGGAAACGTTAAAAAAATATTCGTCGAGCCGATCTGGTGAAATCGTGAGGGGTGTTTGGACGATGGATATAACACGGGGCATATAAATATCGGCCCAAAAAATATTAAATCTGAAGGCTTCGTTGAATTTTTATCTCTAGGTATATGTTCGACCTGTGGAAATTTAGGGAGGGGAATCAGCTAAAGAAGTGACAATAAATGATTAATTTCATAATCATTTCGTACTAAGCGAATCACAGGTGATGATTTTTCTTTCAACGCCTCACATTACATACGGATAACTTCCTCTTACGATGGAAACCAGGATGTATCATCAAAACATCTACACTTTAAGAATGGAACTGCATGTACGACTATCTGTGTAGCTCACCCACATCTCTGGCTCAAGTTAGCGCGATCATAAATTGCAAGTCATGTGTGATAGCTGCTTCAGTGATGGCGATAGACTGGCTCAGACTTAGACAAGTTCGGCTATGTTAAAAACAAGAAAAGATTTAATTTGTGAATAATGTGAGTGATCCTATGTCAAAATTGGACGACAGGTCAGAGATTACCTTGTTATATCTCGTATACATCCCCACTTTACCTGTGCCGCAATAACGTTTCATGAATAAAACAGCAACACAATCAACATAATGAAGAAATACCCCAAACCTTCCAATGACAAAAGCAAGACAAGATCTTGAATTCAAACTCTAGTATACATCTATTTTTAACTTACAAAAAGATAAAAAGATGTTACGCACCAGCACTCTATTCTCAGTCATGGACAAATTTCAACCACACAAAATAAATTACATATACATTACCAAAAGCTCTATGCTCAGTGATGAACAAAGGTCAAGATCGCAAGATAAATTAAATATACACAACCTACAACTCTATCCTCAATCATGGACAAAAGTGAAGCACACAAAAATAATCAAATATAAATAATGGACTTATAAGGTGAAAGAATTTTTAGCAAACTTAAAAAGACCTCAACTTTTGTTTTTTCCTGCACCTACCTTTACACTTACAATGTAATCGAAATCGAAAAAAGCAGAACATAGAAAAACTGACAAATACTTCCTTAATGTAAAAATATCTCGGAAGCAAAGAACGTATTTCTCTGATGGACACAAAAATTACAAAGATTTCGTACTTTCATCGCCCTTGTTAACGCGAGTTGGCTGATTCATCATTGTTCAGACTCGTGAATAGCCACTGTTCGCTTTTTAAAACCTATTTCAGTGTTCACACGAATGGCATAACTAACCAAAGGGGAACGTACAGAAATTATAAATTAAGACCATCAGTAAGTAACTACAAGGAAGACTCCTTTCAAAGATTGTCTGATGATAACACAGGGTATTGTTACAAATTAAATAAATAGTGCACCGCCATGATGTTCGAGAACATTGCCTTAACCAATCTGTGCCTGCGTCTCAGCAGCCACTAGGAGCCAACCGTGAAAATCTTGATATACTGTGGAAATCGACCATATAGCCTACACCTACAGCCAGATTATAAGTTTATTCGGTATCAACCAGAATGTTGCTATGGAATTTCAAATCAGACAGAAGGACTTTGTTGGCTTCTGCCCCAACTACTACTTCCTCTTGGAGCACCTCGACTTGGTCAGCAGTCGGTTGTATACATCTAATTTCAGCCTTACTTCGCATGCGAACAATCGCTGTCAAACTCAGCTGCTCGAGTGGACTGGTAATAAATGATGGCGGTCGTCACTAACGCAGAAAACAAAAGTTGGAACAAGTCAACCACACACACAAACAAACACACACACAAACAAACACACACATACATACATACATACATACATACATACATACATACATACATACATACATACATACATACATACATACATACATACATACATACATACATACATACATACATACATACATACATACATACATACATACATATATATATATATATATATATATATATATATATATATATATATATATATATATATATATATATATATATATAAACACATACGCACACACATACGTACGATTTCCCATTCAGGACACCTTGTCATCCTCACCCCTTGGCAATCTGTAAAAGCTCGTCAATGCGCTAAAGGCCGGCAGGGGTGCTAAGCTATGGTTTGGCTCTTGCAACGTTTACAGGTGCCACTCAGTCGCGTTCACTCTGCCCAGGCCAAGTGCCTCCAAATCTTCCACTCCGTCTCTGAAGACTATGCACAAAAGAGCAACATATTTCTACTGTTATCCCTCCTACGGTCACCAGCAAATACCGTCAATTACAGCGGCGTTCTCAGCTATAACAGACACAGTTCTTGCCATTTGCCACCCAAAGACCTGAAACTTGACCGCTTGAGGCTTGCTCACCCCTTTAGGCAATTATCTGACTTCTAAATGAGCGACGAGACGGTGCGCCTGCTCAAATGCAGTGGATAAGAGGCCGTCTTTGTAAGTCTTGATACCTTGAAAAATCGCGAGGTGCACTGGTTGGAGTTTCAAACGACACTTGTGCGCCAGAAATACATAAGTACTGTGTGCTTTGCGCCGTTATACAAGCTGACTGCATACTTTTACCAGTCCTTCAACTATATTCCCCGTGCCCACGATTACTGACCAAAGAAAGGATGACGAGAGAAGCGCCTTACATCGACCAAACGTACGATGGGGGCAGCGCTATCTCTTTGTTACCATTAATTGGAAACGGCCAGGTTTCTGGCATGCATGAGAAACCTGTGGACATCTTTTGATGCTTGAAGAAAGACTTCACCTTAAAACGGATCTCGCCAGGTCGGCAAGAAAACGCTGACGCAAAATGATATGTTTACCGCCAAGACAGGGATATAAAGATGTACGTCGACGAACAAAATGCGGATATAATACTATACCTCGAAACAGCGATCGAAAAGTTAAGTGCAATATAAAAGAGTGTGTGGACCAACCAGTCGCCGTTACAACTTCCAAAGCTGACTTTATGGGAGTGTCAAAAGCTGAAGTCAATTCGTATCTATCAGATTAAACAAGGCAGACAAAAAGTAATGATAAGGTTCTCAATTTTCCATTAATAAATATAAACACGAAATTAATTTTTAACATTAAATAAATAAAACAAATCTCAAACGATTATAACAGCACGTTTTCGTCTCAAAACCATACTACAGATTCTGTACGGGTATCGATGTAGATCAGTGCAAAACAGTTTTGTTTGCCGGACACTTTTTACCCCTGTACGTTTGCGAAAGCAAATGTGTTGCAATTAATGATTATCTAAATTGCTATGAATGAATGCTCAAGTGTGGTAAAGATCAGGTAGTTTTTGCTTGTTTATTTCCACTATATGCACAAGTTATTTGATAAAAGACAGCTGTTATGCAATGACAGACAAGGATATTTCCAATCCTTTGTTAAATTAACAAAATGGTTACTCGAGCTTAAGAATGTGTAAAAAGTTGTATTCTCAGTCTACATTAAACAAATAATGATTCAAACAAACGTGAAATAATGTTGATATCTCCGATTACTACTACTACTACTATTGACAACATCAACAACAATAGCATCAAAATAATAATAAAATTAGAAAAATGATTTCTGTGCAACAGGAAGGCATTAAACAATTGATAAATAATGGACTGATACACGCAGCTATTGATCGTCGTCATTATCAGTATTACGTGACTTTCAAGTATTAATACAAGTAAATTAAGTGTGTGTGTTTATGATTTTAACGTAGCTTTTAACAATTTTTCAGTCATATCACTACGATGTCTGCAGTGTAGCAGTTTAAAGTGATGTCTAGCACTGGGGCATCATGCCGCAGACATATAGCATGATGTCCCACCCAGTCACATTATCCTGACACCAGGCCGACCAGTCCTAACACTAACCTCTTAATGCTGAGCGTCAAGCGAGGCAGCTGTTAGTACCATTTTTGTAAGTCTTTAGTATGACTCTACTGGGGATCGAACCCACGACCTCCCGCATCCGAGGCGGACGCTCTAACCACTAGGCCACCGGAGCGGTTTGCAAATTAAGTAGAAAGACTGATTTTTGTAGTTTTAGTTTAATAATAATAATAATAATAATAATAATAATAATAATAATAATAATAATAATAATAATAATAATAATAATAATAATAATAACACCATAGTCAACATTATCAGTAGCAGTAGTAATAGTATTTGTTAATGTGTTGTTAGTAGTAGTATTAGTAGTAGTAGTACTAGTAGTAATAGCAGTCGCATTAGTAGTAGTAATAGTAGTAGTAACTCTATTATTGCTTTTTGGTCACCAGCATGAAAGTAGTAGTAGTAGTAGTAGTAGTAGTAGTAGTAGTAGTAGTAGTAGTAGTAGTAGTAGTAGTAGTAGTAGTAGCAGCAGTAGTAGTAGTAGTAAAATATACTTTATGTGACTTTTTTCGTTGTTGTCTTCGTATAGAAGTTGTTTGCTATTATTACTGAGATTTTTTAAAATTATTTTGTAAATGGGTAAAGAAATGTTCTATTGTCGGAAAGTATAGGCTGAAGAATAAGACAGTTATACAATTAAATTCCGATAATATTTGGTGCAGGGTCAGAGTCCATTGTCCATCGAAAAGTTGGAATTTCAGGACACAAAGTAGTTCCGGCATAGAGTTCATAGCCCCTTACTATCCTGCCTAGTAAACTTGAACGACGTTTCATCGATATATACCTGCATGAAATCAATAGGAATGTGATTTATTTTCTCAAAAATTGCAAGTATAGCATTCATTATGTCTGTAATCTGCTAGTACACGAGACTAAACGACAGCGTTAACGAACTTTAACCTTGAACCCATAATTTGCCATTCTAGTCACATAAAACTCTGAGCTACCTACATCTCATTGACATCAGAGGTCCCATAGTCACGAACTATTAACAAAGATCATTTTCCAATGTTGCTATACATAAAATTCGAAAATATTAAATAAAAGTCACATAATATTTGTTTATCAACATAATGCACACTTAATTCTCAACATATTTATTCTGAGAACAGCAACCAGAAACCTGTCCGTATCGTAGCAAGGTGGAGACAACCAAATTCATAATGTATTGATGCCAGAGATGTTTTTATAGGTATCGCGTGACTACCGCATTGACCTGTGCTCTCTTCTTGGTGAATCAGGTTTTCTTCAAGTTGCTATGACCGTTACTGATTTCTGGTTTGTTCTATTCAGAATATTATTTTGAGAAGTTCGTGATCTTTCATTTTTCTATACAAATTACATAAATAAATATATTTTCGATTTGTTTTCCTGCAAAAATATTGGAATGATCTCTTCTGTTGATATCACGTGAGTGTCGGACCTTTAATATCATTGACATATAGGTTGCGATAGGCAAGAGACTCTAACCCTACACCCCAACATAAATGTCCAAAAATCTAAAATGGGATGGCTAGGATCAGAGGAGAATCGGATTAGTTTTCCGTCATAAAACATAATATAGTTAGTTAAAATGGGACCGCTAATAAAGGTATAGTCGATTATAACATTATCCATATATATATATATATATATATATATATATATACATACATACATACATACATACATACATACATACATACATACATACATACATACATACATACATACATACATACATACATACATACATACATACATACATACATACATACATACATACATACATACATACATACATACATACATACATACATACATACATACATACATACATACATACATACATACATACATACATACATATATATATAAGTTTGATCAAACTTTCAATCTTAAAGTCACAGTTAATATTCACGCTAGAATGCCTTTTATGAAAATTGATGGAAAACAAAATGGTTGTAATGTAATATATCAGACTAATTTTTACATGACACTGAAAATTAGAAGAAACAAACGATTAAAAATAAAGTGAGTCAGTTTCGATCAAAATCTGTCAAGTAGATTTGAAGTTAGGAGCACCAAAATCTTATTAGCTTTGCCTGATTTTGCTCGCATGATATATAAGGAATACAAGTTTAAAATGACTTCGATTTTTTTAACAGTAGCTAAGACATTTCCTTCCAACTAATTCCTACCAATTACATAGAAATTGACATTCATGTTCAAATAAATAGTCTTAAATGAGATGGAACAAATATCTTTTTTAAATTTGTGACGAAAATAGGAGCTAAATTTCTTTTTTAACGATGTTTCTGCAGAACAAGAAAAATCTCTAGGTTAGCACAATATTTCAGGCCTGCCTGTTTACATGGGGTTCATCAAGTTTAATGATTAATTTAAATTTCAAAGTGCAATGCTGTTTAAATGTTCCTAACTAACTATCTGAATGTGTAGCATCAAGTTCCACATATTGTCCCATGTAAATTACAACACAATTACCTTTAAATTCGAATTACTAGTGATTATTAAAAATTTAAAGATTTTAATCTCTTAACTGACATTTTAACTCCTTACATTAATAATGTTGACCTACGTTATCTCCCCTGAAACTCTTAAACTGAAATAATTGGAGAAATTCTCAACCAAGTTTGACGCCGTTTTCTCTTTCTTTGATATTAAAGAGTACTTTTTATTTTATTTTGATTATTTCTGAACTTCATGGTCACTTTAAATAATATGCACTGGAGAATATTAGGTTATACCATACATTTTATAAAATGGATCTAATTACGTAATGATAAATATTATTGTTATAAATACAAATCGTTGGCTATTATTTAGAGTGATCTAAATTAATTTTAATGTTTTGTTCTTACTGTTGGGTTTGTAAATTAAAATTTCAGTTTCAAAAACACTAAAATAAAATACGAGACAAAGCAATTAAAGGGCAACAACTCTCATATCTTTCCCAGATGTTGAAAAACATAATGCTGACAAGGCAAGATGAAACTATTGATCAATCTACATGAGAGAAAGTAATCTGGAAACATCACCGTGTGCTGACTTAGCTTTCGCGTATTTATCGATCCATGAAAAAGCTGCGTGGGCGATCATCCTCCGGAGTCAGTATTACATGTAGGCGTTGGGTATGAATCATAAAACTGCCGCCTGCGATTAAAACTATATGCAGACGGCACAGTAGAGGAATGTCAGCTGTAGCTGGAATAACTACGGGGATATACCGGCATATCGCAGCTACTGTTCAGCAATGGGAATGTTAAGACTATTGAAAGAGCATATTAAGCATTGGAACTTGCTGACATAATTGATATATTTGGTTGTTCAATGAGTTTACGTTTGGGGAGGGAGATTGCGAGCGCGCTAAGCTGAAACTGAACACGTACAGTAATTTTTACACAAAGTTTTGCTTACTTTTGGACCAAACGTTTCACGGTCGAGTTTTGGTAAAACTATTTCAAAATATTTACACTGTTATGAGAAGAATATCAATGAGTTACGTTCAGAATATTTGCATAACAATTGTGAATTAGAAGATTATAATTCCTTTTAAGTTCAATCTATCATGAAAAACAAATTATTTAAAGAAATTTAATTATTAACGGGTTACTTTTATCATGATGAAATTTAAATAATAGTCATAGAAAACTAGCTTTACTGGAAGCTTGTGAAGATATTGTCATATTTTAATTATCATGTCTCGTATGACATTTTACTCATCATGTCATACACGGACAAAAGCATAAAACATGTAGAGTGATACCTTCTATAGTGACTACTTGTATATAAGGACAACACGCTTATAAAGATAGATATCCTTCGGTCCCTTGACAGTACATCATAAAGACTATTATTTTTCTGTTTGCTTAGGACTTCAGTAGTAATGATTTTAACAACCTCCTAATGTAATCCACTTTGATAAAGTTGTAGTTACCAGTAGCATTATTCAATTATTATATCGCATGTGGCAATTTTTTGCACGGATAATATTATATCCAATTAGAATACAGTGGGAAAACAAATAAAATACATACCATTTGTCATAATTTGTATTTCCACTCTATTACCTGAAGACTTTAGCCCTGACGATTTTGTGATTCCCTTTAAGTTGTCTTTTAATTTATTTATCCGTGCTTAGTTATTATTATTGTCGTGCGTATTATTGTTTGTCGAGTGTTTTCAGTCACATTAGAATTTACGGGAAATAAAATATAAAACCAAATATAAGTATATCTTAAATTTACTTATCTTTGTCTGTCACATTTGAATATTTTTCTGAAACTCATAAAATTATCCACTTTTTACTACGCGCAGAGTAGACACTGATTGGCTGTTGCATAATGGAATGGACTATGAGGTGTACACATTTGATTTCATCATGTTAAAGAAATTTTTATGTTTTTTTTCTTTCAAATTCCATGAAAGCATGTTCATTCGTAAATGAATATAAGTGAATTGACTTGAAAATATTTTAGCATGAATGGTTGTTGAGTCTTACTGAAACGTAACATATTTGCTTAAAATAACACGATTTGTCACCGCGGAAAATTGCAGGTTAAGACAGCCTAATTATGTGAATGGCAGCTTGAATGCCCTTCACAGAAAATGTTCCGCTAAACTCAGAATGAACTCTAACCAATCAATAGCAATGCAATAAGAGGACGTACATATACTGCTACCATTCATTAAAGCTTGGATCTGAATGACGTATTGACTGACATGTCATAGGCGATGCCCGGATGGTCATTTCCTTACCAGAATACAAATATATAACTCAAAGCAGAGTTTCAGATCCAACGTTTCAGGCAGCAATTAAAATTTTCAAGAATATCTAGTGACAGGATTATGCTTCATGCGAATAAGAAAATAATTTTAAACCATAATAATTTAAGCAATATAGCTTGAACCCTCCAAAAGCTCTCCTTCCATGCAATTCATGGCTAAAATGTATCGATTTCAGCCGTTCAGTAATAAGAATTTATTCTTAAATAATTAAAAAGATTTAAAAGCTTCTAAATGTTAAAAATATTTTGTCAAATTAAAAAAAAACTTTTTTAAGCCGAATCCGAAGTTATATATTATCATTATTTCGAACAAGACAGCCAGGTTGGGAAAGATCAAAAACACATCTTTTGTTCTCTGTGTACATCAAAAATCATTACATTTCGTTGGTAGTTTTAGCGGGAGAGTGTCGGACTTGCATTCCAATGGTAACTGGTTTGAAACCAGTTCAGGCCAGCACGGTTAGGCCTCATCAGTGTGTTCTTGGGAAAGCGAATTTGTTCCCATATAGAGATTCACGTGTTTAAAGCGATTTTAAAACCAAAAAAACAACACCAATACAGACTTTCCAAAATTGATAGACCATAAGACAATAAATTCTGTGTTTTTCTTCTATTTAAAAATTAAACTTGTTGTTGTTGTTGTTGTTGTTGTTGTGCAGCACATAATTGGCTATACCACAGGATTGTGCAGTTTTATCAACAAAGCAAGACATTTCTGACAACATGAAATCACCTTAACGGTATTATAAATTAACACAAGGAATGCAGTCGTGACCACAACCCTCCGCTTGATTCGATTTTTCTCACGCGTCTTTAATCGCTTCAGAATCCTAAGAAGACTGAAAAACTACACGTGGCCATTCAAAAAACAGTAACGTACCAAAGCATCAGTCTCGGACGACCATCGGATGAATCCAATCTGGCTAATTAACCTTTATTTTCACCATTACAATAAAAAATCCCGAATAGAACATTACAGAAAGAAGCCCATTTCTACTAGTTTTTACCCTACAGAATATGTTCTCTTTTAATACTATGCTCTAATAGTTGAATGTGATGACGTCATGAACCGTTATTTGTACTTTCAGAATTTTAATTACATTTTTCTGTTCTGGAAATTGATACAAGAATTATTAAATAAATTATTAAATAATGCAATCTGAAGAAAAGAAATAGTTAAAAATGTTACCTTGTAAAATTAGTTTTATGACGTTATTTAGTCTGCAGTAGAAATGGGCTACTTCCTATAACGAACGCACTGTTCAGGAATTTTGGATTTTGACCGTCATGGTGAAAATAAAGGTTAATTCGCATGATTGGATTCATGTGATGGTCGTCCGAGAGTGATGCTTTGGTACGTTACTGATTTTGTAATGAATATGTGTAGTTCTTCAGTCTTCTTAGGATTGTGAAGCGATAAAAGACGCGTGAGAAAAGTTGAATCGAGCGGAGGGTTGTTGTCACGATTGCATTCATTGTGTTAATTTATAATACCGTTAAGGTGATTTCATGTTGTCAGAAATTTCGTCATGTTTTAATGATAAAACTGCAGACTCTTGTGGCTATACATGGCGGCCAGTATTTATGGTGGAGGAAGAAACCGGGAAATCCAAGGAAAGAACCACTGACCCACGAGTAGCTAGCTACTGGTAAGCTTTCTCACATATCCACATTCACCGAATCTTAGACCAGAACCCACCAAGATAGAGTTGAGATGGCAGTGGTCTGTAACGGAGAGCCACTCGAGCCCTAAATTGAAATTGTGATGGAAAGATTGCAAAACTCAAGATAAGATTTTGGACTTGGTACTGTAAGCAATTCTTTTGGTCATTTCAACATGCTTGATGTTTTCACTAATATCATATTTAGACCCTGATGTTATGTTTAAAATGTACAACATTTCATATATGAAGGGTGTAAACCAGTCCAATGACAAATTCTTTTGTAATAGTTATACTTATGAACGATAACGAATGATGTGCAAAACGTGTAACATAAAAAAATAGTGAAAACTCGACGTTGAATAAAAATGAAAACATAATTTTAGTTAACAAATGGTATGACATTTCCACATTTTCGTACTTTCAGCTTGTGCGGCTGTCACAAATCACGAAAATTAACTGAACCAAATGGAAATTGCAAAATCGCGAAAACATTTCCTTTTGCAATGGAATGAAATGTACGTAAATAGAATATTGTAAAAGCGGAAAAATTTTAGCAATCAATGTGTACAAAATTGGAATTTCACGAACATTTGACAAATTTTTTAATAAATGGTATCTGATTGTAACACAACTTCGCCATGTTTCCGGGTTCTGCACATATCATCAGTTGGCTGTGCGTGGGTGTTGACATTCATTTATGAAGCAGTTGATATGAATCGATCGCTCAATTTAAACACTTCCATAATAAACAAACGGCACACGCGAATAGCAAGTCCGCCGTACCCATCGGAGAAAAACAACGACCCTGCTCTGCAGTTGCCCAAAGCACCGGCAGATTAGTTTCTACATTGCTTGATTAAGTCGAACAATTATCAAGCAGACCCTGTTCCTCCAAATAATATTAGAATCACAGATCTAGGCATTTGCAGTAGATGTGCAAATATGTATAGTAACAAATAATATACTATTGGGCTACAAGCGATCGGTTTGGTTTCTTCTGGAAAGATGAATGAGGTTTTTGTAGTGTTAGCAAATATGCCATTCATGGGGTTGCTAGGCTAAGTGAGAATGGTTGTCAGATGCGTTTGCTTTCTCGTCGATGCCCTGTATGGTTACCTAGCAACTGCCTGTCCGCACTTAGCCTCTCAGGAACAACAAAGGATATTTTGGATGGCTTGAATTTAATATGTGCTAATAGAACTGTGCCATGAAAATAAATACAGAGTTTGATCCTATATCGACTGAATTTATCGAACTGGTTTGTTTCTAAAGTCGGAACCAAAACTGGCATTTACAACCTTTTAAGCTAAAAGGCCACAATTGACTATTTCGCATTCATTATTTTCTTTTTAAAATGCTTATTGACAGTGCGCAATATATTGACCACTTATATTTGGTAACAAAGGTTGATTTGTTATATTGGTTGTAAAATTATGTACAGTGGGGACATTTATGATTTAGAATATACAATGAACTTGATTCAAGTGCAAATGCTTCAGAAAAGACTATTTATCATTATAGACTTAATTTCTTAATTGCAAAATGTGTCTTTCACACAAATACTTTTGCTTAACTATGAATCAACAAGAATTGTATGCGACTATTCATTGTTTTTTTTTCAGAAAATTTATATAATAATTTTTTGTCGTAGTAAACAATACATATTTTTGTAAAGCACATATTTCGATATTTTTTGCATACAAACATCCAGAGGTTGAATGAAAGTTGTCTGCATTTACATATCTTAAATAGCAAATATTTGACGTCCAACGGAACAAGGTTTGAAACAATGAACCTTTGTTTATATTATAATCAGCCACTTATCATAAGAATCCATTGTTATCGTTTAGTAAACGTTGCTGCCAAAGGAAGTTTTGAATTGAATCTATCAGAAAGATCTAATTCCTCGTTCGAAATGAACTCTTTTAGAAATCGTTCGGTTTATCTTTGCTCCTTCGTATGAAACATGTGTAAAATAACAAACTGACCTTTTACCTCAGTGACAAAACCATTAAGTATTTAAGAAATCTTCTGTTGACAGCAATCAGAAGTTATGTTGTTATTTCTGCAAGATATAAATATGCATCGGCTCTATTTCTTCTCAACAAAAAAAAAAGAAACCGCAATCTATTCAGACTACGTAGGCCATTTCTACAACTGGATTGACTGTACGATGGAATGAAAATTTATGAATGAAAAAGTAGTTCACTGAATTCACAACTTTCTAGGTCAATCTATATTTCGTAGAAAGCCAAGATGCTACAAATGGTAGTTGTCTTCATACATTCACCTATGTTTCTTAGAAATGTATTCGAAGTTGCGAATAACTGACAGTTCATTTTATAACGTTAACTCAAGGTTATTATAACTCTCTAGTATGGAACAATTAAAGGTCATCACATCTAAAGAAACCATGCAGTTGGTCACCAATAGATCAGCATAGACCAGAATAATCGCTCAAGGGTGTATTAATTAATACTGACCAAGAAATTGACCCAGTAAACTCTTAATGATGACAATGGAATCGATATCAAGAATATAGAAGCCAACTGTAAAAATGATTTTGTAAATATTTGTGATTTAAGACAAAACGTCTTATTATTAGAGTTGCTATACGTTTTAATTCTTATGACAACGTCTTTAGGACATAAACACAGTGTCCATGCTTATAATTAATTTGAAAAAAATTATTTCTCAAAAAACAGGCATAATAGTTTCCAATATTCTGGAGGAATAGCAATTCTTATTAAAGATTTACTCTTTATGATTATATAGATGCTGTATATGCTGTACAATGGGACCATTTGGATCATACATAAAGAAATATGGAACCAACTGGCGGTGATCCTACTAATGACACACACACAGACACACACACAAACGTATATATATATATATATATATATATATATATATATATATATATATATATATATATATATATATATATATATATATATATATATATGATTAATTGTGAAACCAAACCAAAATATTCGGTCTCGATAATTATAAAATGGACTACATAGACATATATGGTATGTAACCTGAATCAGCTATTCAAAAGATGGAAAAGATGTACTGTGTGGGGTTTCTCAATGTTTGTACAAATAGTAATATGTCTATTTGTAAGGAGAGTGTAGGTTTAAACAAGAAGTTCGATATGCACTGCCAATGGTAAATACCTAATGGATAATTTATTAATTCATCTGAATTATTTAAGTGGCTTCCAACTGTTATTACATTTTAAATGCGTGATTTTAATCAACGATTTTCAGATTTTCAGGTGTGTGTATCTTAGGATATAATGTTCAAAAAGTAATCAGCAACATGTATTGCACAAAGAACTTGACGATTGTCGGATCTGTGACAAAAAGATGAAATTCGTGCATATATAAATATTCAAAAAATGAATGATATTAATGTTACAAGAAGTTCTAATAAAATTAAATACAACACGAGACGATGTAAATAGAATGATCCAAGTAATGTTTTGATTCGTTTTGCTGAACTGACATTTGTTCATGAAAGAAATATGACTTGAACTCTGGTTTGGTAATGTGCATATGAAAGCAAGAAAACATCACCCATATTTGGAAAAGTTCACGACAGTATAAAAAATTCTTTATTCTCTCGTTTTAAATTATTACTTGCATATGAAAAAACACATTTTACAATAGAAGATCCAAAGCGATACTGGAATATGAAAAATAATATTGACAAGAAAAACCGTAAACAAAGTATTGAAATGCAAGAAATTTTGGAATAGTTCAAGGAAATAATGTTGTGG